TATTATCATGCTACAAGATAGTTCCCAAGCATTTCCTCCCAAAAAAAATATAATACATACTAATCACGAATCCATCAATACATCCAACTTCATAAGCAATTTTTACAATCAACCTCCTTCATAAAAAAAAGGGTAAGCTTACATCCTAGAATGACCCTAAGCAAAACCTCAACCACAAGATGCCCACCTGTGATCCTTCAAAAAATTCTAGTCTTCCAAGTTGAGGCGAGCCACACAAAAGTCTATGAATCTGAAAAAAAATTATTTAAAAGACTGAGCTAAAGCCCAATGAGTATACCAATACCATGGAGTTATAAAACTTGCTCCTACCAATAGGGTTCAAAATAAAGATACTAAACATAAGAGCTTAATTGGACTTCAATTTATACAAAATAAAAATAAAAATGATGCAATACAATTTTCATAAAACGTTATCAGGATTTTTCCAAGGAATCTCATAAGGCAGAAAAAAAAATGCATTTGGATAATGAAAGTAAACAAAAATATAACTTTTCAATACATTAAGATTTCCTGTCCATCATACAATCCACTACATAGCCTTAGGGTCGCGTTACCTCGCGACTTAGGTGGTGACGGTACCGTTACCCAGAACATAACCATAGGAGCATAGCTCATGTCATCGTAGCACTTCAATTCTCGTTTCAATGTTTCGGTCCCCGGGACCCCTTATACATACAACGACCCTTATGGTCCTTAAAACATTTCGGTCCCCAGGACCCCAAAGCATTTTGGCCCTTGTGGCCCCAAAGGCTATATTCGGTTATATGATCAATAAAATAAATACCCTCACATAACATTTCACTGTCATTCAATCATCATCATCATAAAATTTGAACGACTCAACTTAAATAAATTCTCATAAAAAAATTAATGCTTCATTATACAAATGAAATCATATCTTTATTAAAACTCAACCCTTGGCCTCAATAAATTTTTAGATTTTCTTTTTATACATATATCATGATGAAATGTATCATTCATTTCCTTTAATTCAAAAAATTATTTTCAAACTTTGTAATAAAGATAGAGGTAAGGTAATTTCCATGGTAAGTATACTCACCTCCCAATTAGCAAAAGCATAGATTGAAACTCTACGAATTAATTCCCAAGAGGTGTAGAGACGCCTCCCTCCAATCCTAACAATTGGTAAATAGGATCTAAAATTAAGGAAAAGCTTTCAATGAAAATTACAACATCTACAAAATTGATCCTAAAAAGACATACTATGGAATGACAAGCTATAGAACTCCTCCAACTTCAAGTCACCCAAACAAACTTCTTATCCAATCTCCACAACACCCATCCTTTGTACATTTTTTTGAGTTAATAAACTTTTTAAATATCCAATCAATTTATATGCACAATACCACCATCAATAAACTACAAAAGTCAAAAATCAACATTTTCATAAACTCAACAACTTAAGTAAAACCACTTCAATCATTTATAAAATTCCTCCATAGAACATAGAGATACCCAATCTACCATTTATCAAGTCAATTTCAACATATAAATTTCCTAACACCAAAATCCCCAATTTTTTTTACATCACATTCAAACCCTAGATTAACCCAAATCTTAATCTCCAAAACAACCATCAAATTGATCATTTTTCTACATGTAAAACACTCATAGAAACTGATTGAGAGTATAAAACTCAACAATCAAACCCGAATCATAATAGATCTAAAATAGAAAAATTTCATCATCTTTAACTCAAAATATGTAAAACCCAATTTAAATAATTAATCTTAAAATCTTCATTTTTAATCCTCTAAAAACCCATCTTAAATCAATTTATGTCTAGATTATTTTAACTATACTAAAAAAAAGATGAAATTTCTTACCTTATGATGATTTTTCCACAATTTTTTTTTTTTTTGCTTGACTCTTGGTATCCCACAAAACCCTCTTCTCCTTTGTTCTTCCTTCAATTCTCAAGCCTTGAGTTCCTTCCTTCTCTCTCTCTCTCTCTCTCTCTCTCTCTCTCTCTCTGGGCCTTTCTCTCTTTACGGCTCAAGCTCTCTTCCTGAATGTCAAAGAATGAATTCAATGGGCTCTATCTAATACAACGTATAAACAATGAATAAACACACACACAGCCTTCTTTTCGCATCCAGATTTTCTCAACACACACACACCCAATTCTAGATTATTCTACAATTTACTGTATGATCAAAATTAATTTAACTAAGTAACACTTAGTCTTAATAAATCTTGATTAACACATAATTAAATCAATCATGACTAATCCCAAATCTCACTTAATTTAATTAGTCTAATCTGACTTCTAAGTCTAATCTGACTTCCTTTAGAGCCCAATTAATAATATTTAAATTTATTAATTTGAATCAGTTTTTTTTTTAATCAAACTCCCAAAAGGCTCCAAATATTAAATTAAACTTATTGTCCTCATCAATTTTGATTTCTCAAACCATTTAGGCCTTCAATTTTTAATCAGACTCCAAATTTCCGTCAATAAATTACATATTCAAATTGGACACCCCATAAATAAATTTAATTCGTAATAATCACAATTCTCAATCCTCATAATTTAATTAACCTAATTAACTCCAATTCAGACCTAATTAATCGGATCTCAATTCTACTAAACTGAATCGAATATTTAATTAAACTCCCAAATGGATCCGTAATTAAAAATTAAATTGATTCAACTTCTTAATTTCACGTCCTTAAACCATTTGGACCCTTAATTTCTAATTGCAAAATAAATCTTTAAAAGAATCATATACGAATCAGATTCCACAATTATCATAAATCCCAAACTAAATTAGGATAACGACTAATTAAAATCTCAAATCTCCTTAATTAACCCCAGCAACCACATGCTATGAGCAAACACCATCATGGTCAATATGTATGTACAGAATTGTGGTGATTGTGTATAGCCCTAGATTTGGGGTTTGAGGGAGGGAGGGAGGGAGGGAGGGCAATTTTTCTCATCACAGGAGTTCGACTCATTCTCATTTATTTGTTGGTTCATAACCCAAATTGGTGATTCATCATAATCTATATTGTCATCAAAGGTCATTCAGTAATCAATAATATGTACTAGACCTTGAAATCAACCTCATAACATTAAACCATGAAACATATTAATCACAATGTACTATTCTCGTCAATCACTTAATTTATATACTTCTACTCATCCATTCACATGTCTCCAATAATTCACATATCGCCAAATAATCCACATGTCTCCAATTCATTGAGGATCAATCACAAATGATATTCGTGATCCAACTTAACTTCAAATAAATCAAAATACTCCATTATTGACATCTCATATGAAGTCTCCAAAATAGACTAAGTATTTAACACAGCCTTAATGACAAATTCAATTTTTTTTTTTTTTTTTTTCCACAAATACTCGGACCACAATGGCCTTATTGACAAATCAAATAGGCTGGGGTTTTACTCCATTGGTTCCACAAAATAACTGTTTAATCTCAAAAGTCAAAGACGACTCGCTTAGGTGTATGATCACATCCACTTGAGAGATAGAAAATCCATTCACTCAAAACGTTACATTCTAGGGTCCATATTGAACCATAATCATAGTACAAGTTCCCAAGTAATATAATTCTCTAACTAACGAAAAAAACATTTTTTATTTAGTTATTTATTATTATATAATAATATTTCCAATGATACATTCAGCTTATAACAATTAGCTTCAAATGAATGGATGGGTCTTGAATCAATTAACGTGTGGACACTTTACTCACAATTAGTTGAGGTACCCGAAATAACAATCTTATTCTAATTGTCTTAACAATCTCATATTGGGCTCCAAATGCCTAAGCAAATAAATTCTAAATTGTCCAATTCTCTTGTATGCATATATAACTTACTTCAACCATCCAGTAGCATCAAAGCTATCATCAAAGTATTTTGAAACCAAATTTTGTCTTTCTCAATCCTTTGCAAGTTAGTCAATTCAAATTCTTTGTCCTAAGAGGTTCTTAAGAAATATGCATTTATAACTTCGGCAAAAATATTTTCTTGCTTTTCATTTCGCAATAACTCTTCTAAGTAGTAGTACTAGATACAGGCTTCTTTACAATAAATCTAAGTCTTGGTCATACTCTAATATTCTTAGCATTTTCAGATGGAGTTCCAAAATCCAAGTAAATGTATCTTATGTCTGCCAAACATTAGGTAGGAAAGATTCACATATCCCAAAACATATATGACATAACAACTCAAAATTCTATACACATGCTTAAAGTACTCCTTTACTTAGCAATTGGGTTAGAAACTAATCTTTAAACTGACTGGCTGACTTGAAATCTCCTTAAAATTTTATTACTCCTAAATAATCCTTCGTTAGTTGTTCTATCTCTCCATATTTGTAGTATGCTCTTAAAGTTCGATGATATACCCCGTTATAATATTTGCAACAAATCGAACATTTGGGGAATGAACTTATATCTTGCTTAAAATTTCTAACCACTCCAAACTTTGCTTAACACTTAATACTCTGCTTCTCAAACATATTATGTAATTCCTTCTTTGACTTAACACTTTACTTTTCTTATAATCTTGCAGTTTCCCATAGCATTATTGCCTAGCTTTCATTATATTTCTTAACACTTCCTCTATTTTGCCCAATTGCTCCAACATAGACTCAACTTCCATTTCGTTCTTTCTTCTCATTATCTTTTCTTAGAGTCACAAGACAAGATAGATAGCAGTCGGGGTAATATTGGATAACCTAAATCATACATCACAAATTCAACCATAATTAAACAATTCCTTTTTTTTTTTGCAAAGAGATTGGTAGGGCAACCTATTCATTCCCATGAAGTTGATCAAGAATTTCCGATTCGAAACTATGTTGACCGAACGTGATTCTAATCGGACTTTCAAGGTCATCAACATATGTATGAACTTCCATGGTTCATATAGTAGGTCCTTCACCAAAATAGCATATCATCTTCATATCAAATAGTTTTCTAACTCTCAATCACCATAGTTCGACACACTTCATTAATCATCAAATACTTTAACTTCCTAAAATGTTCTCAAACTCTAATTTTACATTTAACCGCATAGCCTTCCCAACTTCCATCAAAAACTTTTAATTCTGTTTAATACTGTGTTCACATGAATCAATATGCATGTACTCACCAATGTGCTATGATCAAAAATTACATTTCCCTTATAGCATAAAAAGAAAATTTCACAATAACTCTTATCTTCAACACTAAACTTGTTGAACACACATATCCCAGTCCTTCTTAATCATCGAAATTCCAAAATAACCTTTAGTTCTTATAATATTACATTCTCGCAGATCATTATACTTGTACTCACTAATATTTACTTACAATGTGAAAAAGTTCCTCAATAGTTCTTGGCTTTTAGCCTCAATACCACACTTATTAAACAAACACATTTCGGTCCTCTTATAAGCAACAAAATACCCTACAACTCTTAATTCTTGGTTTTAATACTTAAATCTATTACACAAACACATATATTCCCAAGTGCACAACTTATCACTTACTTATTAGATGCATGCAACTTAATTCTGTTCTAGAAATTCTAACGCTCAATGGACTCGTGTGTGAGATATTAACTCGTGCTCTGATACCAAAAATGTAACGACCCAATCTTGGCAAGGCAAAACCCTGCCAAGAGGGTGCACCTCAAACGCTATAGCACCTTTACACCACAATTCCTGTATAATTCTTACATCACATCACCACATCACCAAAAGTGTATAAGACCTTTCAATTGCCTAACATATATGAGATGATCTATTCAAAGGCAAAAAAAGTATTATCATGCTAAAAGATAGTTCCCAAGCATTTCCTCCCAAAAAAAAAAATAATACATACTAATCACGAATCCATCAATACATCCAACTTCATAAGCAATATTTACAATCAACCTCCTTCATAAAAAAAAAAGGGTAAGCTTACATCCTAGAATGACCCTAAGCAAAACCTCAACCACAAGATGCCCACCTGTGATCCTTCAAAAAAATTCTAGTCTTCCAAGTTGAGGCGAGCCACACAAAAGTCTATGAATCTGAAAAAAAATTATTTAAAAGAATGAGCTAAAGCCCAATGAGTATACCAATACCATGGAGTTATAAAACTTGCTCCTACCAATAGGGTTCAAAATAAAGATACTAAACATAAGAGCTTAATTGGACTTAAATTTATACAAAATAAAAATAAAAATGATGAAATACAATTTTCATAAAACGTTATAAAGATTTTTCCAAGGAATCTCATAAGGCAAAAAAAAATAAATTTGGATAATGAAAGTAAACAAAAAATATAACTTTTCAATACATTAAGATTTCCTGCCCATCATACAATCCACTACATAGCCTTAGGGTCGCGTTACCTCGCGACTTAGGTGGTGACGGTACCGTTACCCAAAACATAACCATAGGAACATAGCTCATGTCATCGTAGCACTTCAATTCTTGTTTCAATGTTTCGGTCCCCAGGACCCCTTATACATACAACGACCCTTATGGTCCTTAAAACATTTCGGTCCCCAGGACCCCAAAGCATTTTGGCCCTTGTGGCCCCAAAGGCTATATTCGGTTATATGATCAATAAAATAAATACCCTCACATAACATTTCACTGTCATTCAATCATCATCATAAAATTTGAAAGACTCAACTTAAATAAATTCTCATAAAAAAAAATTAATGCTTCATTATACAAATGAAATCATATCTTTATTAAAACTCAACCCTTGGCCTCAATAAATTTATAGATTTTCTTTTTATACATATATCATGATGAAATGTATCATTCACTTCCTTTAATTCAAAAATTATTTTCAAACTTTGTAATAAAGATAGAGGTAAGGTAATTTCCATGGTAAGTATACTCACCTCCAAAAATAGCAAAAGTATAGATTTAAAACTCTACAAATTAATTTCCAAGAGGTGGAGAGATGCCTTCCTCCAATCCTAACAATTAGTAAATAGGATCTCAAATTAGGAAAAGCTTTCAATGAAAATTACAACATCTACAAAAATGATCCTAAATAAAATTATGCTAAGGAATGGCAAGCTAAAGAACTCCTCCAACTTTAAATCACCCAAACAAATAACTTATCCAATCTCCATAACACCCATCCTTTGAACATCTTTGAGTTAGTAACTTTTTAAATATCCAATCAATTTATATGCACAATACCACCATCAATTTACTACAAAAGTCAAAAATCAACATTTTTGTATAAACTCAACAACTTAAGTAAAATCTCTTCAATCACTTATAAAATTCCTCCATAGAACATAGAGATACCCAATCCATCATTTATCAACTCAATTTCAACATATAAATTCCCTAACACCAAAATCCCCAATTTTTACATCACATTCAAACCCTAGATTAACCCAAAAATCTAAATCTCCAAATCAACCATCAAATTGACCATTTTTTTTTTTAAACATGTAAAACATTCATGGAAACTAATTGAGAGTATAAAATTCAACAAGCAAACCCCAAATCATAATAGATCTAAAACACAAAAATTTCATCATCTCTAACTCAAAATATGTAAAACCTTCAACTAAACTTTTAGAGAAAGATTCTTACCAAGTACAAGCCTCTAATCCATCAAGAAAATAAATCCCATGCTTTGATTCTTCAAAAGATTAAGAAAAATCTAGAGTTTGTGCTTCTATTGTGTTATTTTCGGATGGATTCAAGGAGTGCCGACCGGACCCATTTTCCGGCGAGATAAGGTGGCCGGAGGTGGTGGAGATGGTGGGTCAAGGTGGTGGTGTAAGGGTGGAGCAAAGGTGTGGTGTTTGGCCTCCAAGAAAGTAAAGGAAAATGAGAGAGAAAGTAGAGAGAAGTTAGAGAATGAAGAATGAAGAAAAAAAATCTGCACTTCTAATTTTTTTTGTGTTGAAATGGGGTGTTTGGTTACACCTACCATCAAGTTTGGAGTTGGGTTTAGATATCCTAAATGGAGTTTAACATAGGAGTGTGTTTGGCTCTAGATGAAAAGTTGGGAATATTATAATTCTACCCCCCTAAAGGAAAATTTCGTCCACGAAATTTATTCGTTTGTTTAGTCTAGTTCATACCTTGAAAAAGATGTGGATATCGAATTTTCATATTATCCTCCCGCTCCCAAGTAGCTTCCTCCAAAGCATGATTTTTCCACAATACCTTTACTAGTGGTATGGTCTTGGAACGTAGTACTTGATCCTTCATGTCCACAATCTCTATGGCTTCCTCTTCATAAGACAAATCATCCTTGAGTTGGATTGGTTGGAAATCTAACACGTGTGATGGGTCAGGCATGTACTTCTTCAATGTGGATACATGAAACACATTGTGAATGCGAGATAGACTAGGTGGTAAGGCCAAACGATAAGCAGTCTTGCCAATGCGCTCTAATATCTCAAATGGCCCAATATACCTTGGACTTAGTTTGCCTTTCTTACCAAATCGCATCACTCCCTTCCATGGCGAGATTCGTAAAAATACATGATCTCCCACTTGAAATTCCAAATCTCTCCTTCGATTATCTGCATAGCTCTTTTGTCTACTTTGAGCCGCCTTCAACCTTTCTCGAATAATATGCACTTTATTGGTAGTAATTTGAACAATCTCTGGCCCTAACAATTTTCTCTCTCCAACCTCATCCCAACATACTGGAGTTCTACATCTTCGCCCATATAAAACTTCATAGGGAGCCATTCTAATACTTGATTGATAACTATTATTATATGCAAATTCTATTAAGGTCAAGTGTTCATCCCAACTACCTCGAAAATCTAGGACACAAGCTCTCAACATGTCTTCTAAAGTTTGAATTGTCCTCTCGGATTGCCCGTCGGTTTGGGGGTGAAAAGCTGTACTGAATCCCAATTTAGTACCCAAGGCATTTTGAAGACTAGGCCAAAAGTGGGATGTGAAGCGCGAGTCTCTGTCTGAAACAATAGATACCGGCACACCATGCAATCTCACAATTTCATCCACATAAATTTTTGCTAATCGATCAAGTGAAAAGTTTTTCTTAGTAGCCAAAAAGTGTGCAGATTTGGTCAACCTATCCACAACAACCCAAATAGAGTCATGCCCCTTCTGTGTGCGAGGCAGGCCCGAAACAAAATCCATGGCAATATGCTCCCATTTCCATTCAGGTATAGGAAGAGGTTGAAGTAAACCAGCTGGGCATTGATGCTCTGTTTTAATCTGCTGACATACCAAACACCTTGACACGAATTCTGCTATTTCTCTCTTCATATTTGGCCACCAATAACTTTCTCTTAAATTTCGATACATCTTTGTACTCCCCGGATGCATTGCATAAGGTGAATTATGGGCCTCATCTAATATCTCCCTTTTTATCTCGGGCTCATTTGGAACACATAACCGATTTTTAAACATCAACACACCATCTTCTTTAATAATAAAGTCTAACAGAGTACCATCTTTCACTCGAGCTCGGGTCTTCTCCAAAATTGAGTCTTTCCCTTGGGCTTCTCGAATGCGATCCACTAACAAAGGTCTCACTTTAATTGTAGCTAACAAGGATCCCGACTTCCCAACTGCTAGATCAACTCCAATAGATTTTATTTCATGTAAGAGACTAAATTGAATGCCCTGAATGTGAGTTAATCTCCCTGTAGATTTTCGGCTAAGAGCATCGGCCACCAAATTAGCTTTTCCTGGGTGATAATTAATGGTGCAGTCATAGTCCTTAATCAGTTCAACCCATCTCCTTTGCCTCAAATTTAAATCCCTCTGTGTGAATAAATATTTCAAACTCTTATGATCAGTATATATCTCACATTTTTCCCCGTATAAATAATGTCTCCACAACTTTAAAGCAAAAACAACCGCTGCGAGCTCTAAATCATGGGTGGAAAAATTGTTTTGATGGTTCTTCAATTGTCTAGAGGCATAGGCCACTACCTTTCCATGTTGCATCCGTTGAAGGTGTTCATGGGGACCAATGCTTGCCCCTACCTTGTTCTTACCACTTGCCTCCACTTTGCCAAGGGATTGGCCTTCTTCCAATACAACCTGTCCCAAGATTGGGGAGCCTTTTGTGGTGAAACTCCTAGCATGTGATGTGGCCGATGATGGAGCCAATGTCCCGGAGGCCAGATATGTCACAGTTCTTTGAAGACCTTTAATCATTTTCATCAACTCAGAAGTAGTGGGTTTACGGGTTTGAGATGGTTGGAGTTTAGGTGCACTCATCATGCATAAGTCCATGCTTTCCGGAAAGAACACCTCAGGCTTGGGTAGATGGGCTAGGGTGATGTATATGCTGGGGTCGAAGGTGGATGGTAGTATATGGATGAGGTTGAGGTAGGCAGGCGACGAGTTAGTGCTAACCTGAGGTCCTTTGGGTGGAGCTAGGGTCTCTTCGTCAATAAGATCCTGAATCTTATGACGGAGGCGGATGTAACGGTTCGTATCATGACCGTGCTGTTAATGATAGGCACAGTATTTAGCTGGGTAATATCTTGGTGGAAGAGGATTTGGAAGGGGTAGGGGTTCTAGGAGTTCTAGGTGCCCTTCTTCTCGCAGCTTTTTCAAAGCTTGAGAGAGACTCATGTAAAGAGGATTGAACTTTCGGGCTTGGGGCCGATTTGAAGTGGTTGGTTTTTGGCCATTGAGGGAAGTGGTGATAGAGTCTACTTCTGAGCATTTTGCAGCTGTGCTACCATCAGTAGTAGCATTGGAACTGCGAACAACATTTTTCCGCAAAGGCTCATCATCTTCCACAAAGATTCCTTGTCTGATGGAATCCTCGATTTGAACCCCCATTTCATGAAGGGCTGGAAAGGTAAACAGAGGTAGGACGACCATCTTTTGCAACAGCTTGCCATGTAGATTCCGAACAATCATCTTGATCTGATCTTTGTCGGAAGGCCTTGTAGTCATCATTGAGGCCTTTGCTCTCCATCTCGCCACGAACTCTGAGAAACTCTCCTTTGGCTCTTGGCGGGTGACTTCGAGATCACGAGTTATGACCTCGATCTATGTATTGTAGGAGTATTGAGCAATAAAGGCCTCAGCCAGCTCTTCCCAGTTCTGTTTCACAGAGTCCTCCAATTTTGCATACCAGATTGCGGCTATCCCAGACATGGTTCGGCCGAAGAGAGACAACTTCTGGACTGTGGTCAGACCCATTGGCCTCAGGATATCAGAAAACAGGTGGAGGTGCACCATTGGGTCTCTAGATCCGTCGAAGCAGTCGATATGCAGCATTTTGAATCGGTCCGGCAGAGTCACGGTCGAATTGGTATACCCATCCTCAATGTCCGGAATGGACTTCACACCCTGAGATTTCTTGAATAACTTTTCAAGCTTGCTTACTTTTAGTGCCGTGGGGTCCACCTTGAACTCAAAGGGAGAATTCGGCAGGTTAGTCTGTGCTTTGGATAGTTGGGGTAGGATTGGAGGCAGAGCCAGCCCTGTTGGAATGTCCGTATCTTCCTGGACATTAGCTGTCTCCCCGAGTATTGGCACTCTTGGTGGGAGAGGAGATTGGTGTGAAGCGGATGCTCCAGTTTGCTGTTGTAACCTGGCAATTAACTCTGCCTGTTGAGCCATGACCTTGGCTTATTGTTTGGCAAATTCTGCTTGACGAATAGCGTCCTGCTGCATGGTTTTCATACTTTCCTAGAGCTGACGCATCATCTCTTCCATGCTAACTGAAAACTGTTGATCTAACTGAATAAGTGTGTATCCCCTTTCTGAGGTGGAAACAGATATCTCAGCCCAACTGCGCACAAGTGAGATGGATAATGATCACTGATCCGAAGACTGTTGAACTAATGATCTGTGCCTGATTGGCCTTTTTACCTTGCCTCTGGCAAAGGAACACTGATTGCCCTTGAACTGAATCTCGGACCTGACAAAGTCTATCAGCACAAGTCCAATGTACCTGGGGGATATCGAAGACTTCTGAAGCTATGGTTCCCAAGACTACCCCTAGTAAAAGAGAAAACAAGCAGCATCTCAGCCCAATCTCACCAGAACAGATATGAGCAAAGCTGAATGAATGTGCTCTCCACTGAATTCTGCCCCAAAACTGAATTTGATACCCGCAGATATAACTAATTCTCAAAACACTGATACCGATGCCCGCAGGCCTGATACCCAGACTTGCAAACTGATATATGCATTTATGTAAAGACACACTCTAAAAGTACATAGCAAGCAAATGAGAGCCAAAACACCCCTATACTGGGGTAGGGTTTCCCTGTCCTATTTCGTCAGGAGCTAGGGTTTCACTACGCACACAGCGGTTTGAAACAACCTACAATCGAGTAAACAACCTGTCCTAGTTTGGAATGGTCACTATGGATTCCGATATGCACTAGGTCGAATGGTCAAAAAGGGTGGCCCGGTAAAAATCGAGGTTTGTGTTCCCATCGTGGCAGAGCCCGTAACCGGTCAGCCTTATGGCATGCTTCTCAAAGCGAGCCTCCGGAAAATCGTTCAGGAATAACAGATTGCAAACACGGTGTCCTAGGCGTACCAATGTAAATGCAATGCAAAGAGACACATAAGTGTAATCAAAACAAGATATCATGAGTTCGAGTCAATTTCTCTAAATCTCCAACGGAGTCGCCAGAAACTGTAGACGTCCTCGAATGTCCCGGGAGGGAATCCCGTTTTGTTCATTTGGGCTCACTACAGTTCGGACTCAAATTGTCACGGTCCTGTGTCTAATCTCGCAGAGTGCAATGCAAGACCGATGAATCATCAAAGAGTCCAAATCCGATAAATCGTTTTTGAAAACAGATTTGTTTGAAAGAAGTGGAGAACATGGACTACTTTGCTAGATACAGAGTTGCCACCTAAATATTTTATTTTGGAGGAATTTAGGAAACCCTGACTCGTGCCTAAGGTCACATGTCCGTCATCACCAAAGTTGCCTCGGCTCGAGAACTTGGGTACGATTGGGGAAGGTCAGCTATGAGCACCCCCGCTCGCCCGATCAAAGATCGGCCACTACTAAGCATGATATCGAGTTTTGAAAACATATGTGCTCTTATTCCGGTTATTAGCCTAGAATTACTATGTGATGCGCACAGCATACAAGTATAAACTGGGTCGCCTGAATTGGAACAAAACATCTCATGTTCGTTTTGAAAAACGGTTTGAAGGTGCTACTCGCAAGTAGGCTAAAACACAGATTCCAATGAATTGTTCCAATTCAAGCAATCCAACCTTCACCCACAGGCATTCAAGCAATTATATCACATAAGCAATTAGCCTCATGGCAAGCATGTTGTCATGTTAACATTCACATACATGCAAGATGCTAAAACATAAACACTCACAGTGTACTCCGAGCCAAAACAAGAAACTAGTTAGTAATCATGCATGATCCTAGTTCATGTTAGCAATGGCTAATGCAACGCATGCAAAATGCAACTAAGATAGGCTCGGTTATCCTAAGAATGGCATATGAGGTGCGATAATCCAATACATGTATTCAACTTGGAATTGAAATACAATGCAGTTAGCATGATGCGCCGAGCCCGGTGCATGTAATACAGATGAATGATGCAAACATACTATCATAAGTATGCTAATTGAAACGTGTCCTAAAACTAACCGTTGAAAGCAGGTAAGTAAAAGGGAGAAAGAAGTGGGGGTTAGAAGACATGCACAGACTCACGCACACTTATTACAACATTGCCCT